CTCTCCTGCCCCCGACGGCAGGTGCTGGCTGCGCGCGGCCTGGGCGCGGCCTGCCCGAGCAGGACCAGGCCCTGCGGGGGGGGCGTCCGTGCCCCTTCTCGGCCAGCCCTCCTGAAGGCGGGGGTGCCTCTGCTCGGGGCTGCCTGCCCCCCCGCAGCCCTCCCCGAGCCGCTGGTGAGGGGAGGGCAGGGCTGTTGTCTGTCAGACCCCGCTGGAAACTGAAGATAAGCATAGCTCTGATGGTCTGGCCCGGGGGATCTGGGCAGCCTTGTGTTGGGTGGAGGGGGGTGAGCTTCTCCATCTTGGGAGCATTTGGTTGTTAGTCTAGTCCATAATATGTACGTGTAGAGTCACGAGTGACCCAGCACTGGGGGTAGGGGCGTGACACGGGCATATAAGGTAGGCAGTGAAGTAGTTGTACTGTTTATTCTTCTGCTGGCTAATTATACTTTTAAGTTCGTTCCTCCGCATTCTCCCAGCCCTTTTCATGGCTTTTGTCTAAGCTGCCTTTTTTTGTCTTTTAGTATTTTTCTTTCTTTTATTTTTATTAGTGCTGTAGGTCTTAATAAAAGAAGTGAGATGTAAATGCAGGAGAGCATCTGGGTTTGTACCACACCAGTCATGTTAGATTTGCTGTTTTTATGGCAGAAGTCTGAGTTTTCTACCATTACTCTAAATAACATAATTTGCTAATTAGGAAAGAAAACAAACCCTTATTTGTTAAAAAAATGGCAGTCACTCCTTTGATTTAGCTATTGAATTCATAATCCAGTATTATTATGCCTCTGGTGACAGATATGATCTGAGCAGATTTCTTTTAGTTGAGGTAATCTCTTTTGTATGTGGCCATATGGAGGAGTTTTTTGTGAGACAGTGTGCACAGTGTTTGTCTGTACCTGCTTGTATCTTCATATCAGAAAGGTTGTTAAAAGAGGCTTTATGTAGAGAAAATAAAATTGCTATGAAATTATAATACTGCAGTTGTTCAGGTGCAGGAACCTAATATTGAACTATACCTGAATTTGTGTAACTTAACCTGTTCCTTGACTAGGAAAGGTCAGATGCTAAACCTTTATTAAAATGGTATAGTAAGTGGTTAGAGTCTTGACTTTGAACCAAATGCTGTCTTAAACCTGGTCCCTCTGAGTGTCCTGTACTTTGTACAAAATGTCTGTACATGAAAGAAGGGTGGGGAAAGTTGGGGTTGGCTGAGCTTAGCACTCAGTCTTGTAAGCTGAAATTTTTATTCACGTGACAGTATGAGGTTTCCATATGTTGTCTATTTTGAGTAAAACTAGTTTTGGTTGTAACTAAGAGTAGCTGATCTTCAATAATGTCCTGATACAACTGTCTAAAGGTATGAGTAAATGCCTGTATGCTGTCTGTTAAAAAGAAAATTGGTGACTAAAGCTACCATTTGGTTTTGGGGTTGACCTATGGCTAGCTGGTTACTTTGGAGTTGTCACCCAGGGTTATTGAAGTAAAGGAATTTTAGTAGTCACTTTTTTGGCCAATTCAGGGTTGTGTCCAAATGCTAAAAAGGACTTGGTTCCTAAATTCATGTACAAAAAGACAAGAAGTGGGGAAAAAAAAAAAAAGGGAAGATGGAAAAAAAAGGCCTTTGTTTGGTTTCTGTGGCCTGGAAACTAATAAAGCTGTCAGTCATAGCAAGCAGCTGTCTGCCACGTGGTAGTACACACTTGCCACAGATGTATAAGACTGGTGATTTTAACAACAGTACTCTGAGAAAATTCTTCTCTTGCCAAAATAGTTACATTCAGCTCAAATGGAGTGGGATATTATGGGCACTTCTTTGAGGGACTCTACTACTCCAGTGTGATGTGCTGGTAAATCCTAATTGTAGCTGTTCTAGTGGTAGCAAACTTATCCATCAGGATAGGGGAAAATGTGTGTGTGAAAGTCCATATATACGAAAAAGATACAAAATTACAGAACAGTGGTGGACTAATTCTACTCTTGAACTTCTGCATCTTTATTTCTGGTGGGTGTAGCTGTTAATTGTGTGCCCAGTTCAAGGAGTTTTTTCTGGTGTTAAAAAGCTGACTTGGAATTTTCTTCTCAAGCTTACACAAATACTCAGTGAGGCAATATGCAACAACAACAACAACATCAAAATCTTACTTTTGTCCTGAATTCTGGAAGAACAAAAATAGAGTAAGAAGTAAAATGCTTTGAGAAGCAGACCATATGACTGTTCAGGCAACTGATTTGACAACTTATACGGTCCTTTTTTTTCAAAGAGGCATGATTGGCAGTAGATGCAGAGAAGATGCCTGTGCTCCTCTAGCAGAGCATGTCTACTGTACTATATTAATGGTCCTTCTTTGTTTTATGTAGGAGAGAAATTATGGAAAAATACATGCTTTTATTTAGCTATGTAATCTTGCCATTACTTTCGGATTTGTACTTTATGGACTTCCACCAAGCTATGGATATGGTACGATAATATTAACTGTTATTTTTCTTCCCTCTTGTCAGCCTTCTGCTGCGGTTCACAGATGATACGTTTGACCCAGAACTTGCAGCAACAATTGGTAAGTATGTGCTGATCTTACCTTAGAAAAATTTTCACCAGCTTCAGTACAAAATTGCAGTTTGTTCAGACTTGTCCAACCGGTAGTGAAGTTCAGACACACCTGCTTCCCTTTAAGGAAGGAATGATGTGAACACATTTTTAGCATGCATTGCTCATTCCTGTAGAGCATTGACTGTACTGGCCTGTGTTTTTTCCCTTATGCAAAAATGTATCCTTGGCTAAGAAAACAGATACAAGTGTCACCCAATCTAAATAGTTTTGGCACTAGATGTACTTCAGGTCATGAAACTACTATGACATACTTTTTCTTGTTATATTAAGTATTTGATAGACTTGTAATATGTACAGTTACAGGTTTTGATGCAAGACTAATGAGTAAAAGAATGTGCTGTGTGCTATGGACATCCTGGCTGAGCAATGGTGTTTTTTACAGTTAAGGGAGAGAAATATGCAATTACAGTGGAGGAAGAGATTCTGTTAGTTTAAAAGTTACTGCTGAGTGCTGAAAAATTGGCAGTACGGCATGTTCTTTAGGATCAATTTGAGTCAACTTGTTAGCAGAGTAGTCTTTTGTGAACCAGGTAAAGTTCTAAGAACTGGCCTGTAAAACAATAGTGACTGTTCTTTTCTGTGAATCACAATCACAGAATTATCATGGTTGGAAAGGACCTCTGAGATCAGAATCCAACCATCAACACAAAACAAACAAAACCCCCAAACCACTCTCCACCAAAAAACCCCCACAGTCTTGGTACTTCAGGGCATGCTCTAGTGGCCATATCTACATGTTTCTTGAATACTTCCAAGGATGGTGACTGAACCACTTCCCTGGGCCGGCTATTACAGTGCCTGACCACTTTCAGTGTAGAAATTCTTCCTAATGTCTAATATCAACTTCCCCTGCTGCAACTTCAGGCCATTTCCTCTTGTTCTATCATTTGTTACTTGGGAGAAGAGGCCAGCACCCACCACTCTACAGCCTCCTTCCAGGTAGCTGTAGAGGGTGATGCGGTCTCCCTTCAGCCTCCTTTTCTCCAGACTAAACTACCCCAGTTCCCTCAGCCACTCCTCATGACTTGTTCTCTGGTCCCTTCTCCGGCTTGGTATCTCTCCTCTGGACATGCTGCAGCACCTCAATGTCCTTCTTACAGTGAGGGGGCCCAGAACTGAACACAGTACTCAAGGTGCGGCCTCACTCTTCCCCAAGCCTCTATACACAACTCTCGATTAATACATCATCCTTGTGTGTGGCAGGGAACATTGTATTACTGCTGAGTTAGGGACTAAGAGTCTTGGTTCTTGAAAATGGGGAGTTCTATTCAGTTACTGCAACAGTTAATGTACTTTGGCAAAATTTTGCTTGAAATAAAGAGTTCGGGCTGCTTCTAGTGCACAGCATAGTCTGAAAATCACTTGATGCTTCAGAGAGTACTAGAGAGCTGGAGCTGTGAAACGATGGAATAAATATTGTGTGTATTTTAAACAAAACTAATTTAAACCTCAATTGCAGTGAAGTTGTAAATCTGCTTCCAGTGAAGTTTCTTAAGCATCCTGTATACCCTCTGTGACTAAGTTGAACACATTTTGGCAGCTGTTTGCACTTGCCTGTAATCTGCATGGCCTTGAGAATAAATGTAGCACACTTAATCATGAGGCCGTACTGAAACATTTTGTGTTAGTGTAGTTAAAACCAGAACTTATAGCAAGTATGATGACTAGCATTGTAAGTGAAAGTACAAAATGTTTGCTGTTATGCCTCAAAGTTGTTCGTATAAAGGTATTCACTTTCCACACTGCTACTCCATTTCAGGATTGCTGCCTGGTGGGAAGTGAGAGTCACTCGAGAATAGTTTAAGCATACTTCCAGTTACTTGCTCTTGGTAACCTAAGGATTAAATTGCAGAAAAAAAAATCGTAGCTGTACCCAGCCTTTCAAACTCATGTGTGTTGCTGTATCCTTGAAATTCGCACAGTCATTAACATCTCGTTCTTGGCTTGAGCTTTGTGCACTTTTTTCTTGGGCCAAGTGATAGGCTGCTAGTTCCTGTGTATTTAATAAAGGGTGTGGGGAACTGTTAGATATTGTGGTAGATGACTTAGCAGCAGTGGAGCTGTTAGCATGTTGTCTGTTTTTTCTTGGTCACTGAGTGTGGTATTGGTGAATTCCTGATGTTGGAATCCTTGTAAGAGAGACACTGTGTGTTCAAATAATCCAAAGCTTATTTGACCTGTTCATTAGACAAATTACTGTAATCTAACAGTATTTCTCACAGGATAGTGACCATGTAGTAGATAAGTCTCTGTATTGGTTTACCTCTGCATAATCACCTTGATGGGCCTTGGTCAGATTGTTTGAGAAAGGAAGACAGATCAAATACATACCTGAATGCAGCTTCCTTTATTTTGAAAGTATGTTGTTCCTCAAGGCCACACACATACTCAAAGGGAATACTTGTATGAGTAATGAATAGGAAGTTAATCTGTTTGAATTATAAACGTGAATATTTGTCCTGGAATATATTCTTTAATACAGGAAATGCAGTATTTGCCTTACTTCCAGAAAATATTTTAGTCAATGGCTTAAAAGGCCTTTAGGCTTTTGCAAAAGCCTTTCAGAAACAAAACCTTCAGCTTTGAGCAAAGTTCCTAAATAGGTAATGAAACTTACTCTTCCTGCTCGTTGCAACTTGTTTTCTGAGCTTGATATTTTTCTTTTCTTTCTGTTTCAAAAATAGCTGTAGTATGTTTGAACAAATAAATATTTTTCCTCTTCCAGGTGTGGACTTCAAGGTGAAAACTATTTCAGTTGATGGAAACAAAGCTAAACTAGCAATATGGGTAAGTCTCTACTAAGTTCTTAATGTATTGCTTCACTTTAGGAATAGTAATGGCTTGTATAATGCACAGTTTGTATAGAATCCTTTTCTGTTTAATATGGAGGTGATTTGGAGGAATGGGAGGCTATTACTGAACTGTAGAGCAGCTGGCTAATGGGGCAGTTCTGTCACCTGTGAGCTGTAGGAGTAGAGAAAATGAGGAATAAAATGATATTAAATCAGTTGGACGTTAGAAGTTTGAATGTGTCCATTTTTACATTTTTTAAGATGATTTATTGTTTAAATTCTAAAGACCTAGTCCTCACTAATCTGAGACTTCCCTGTGTATATTGTTCTTGTCTGTACTTGGCAGGTCTTAAAAAGGTGCAGTTAACCTACATGTTCTAGGCAAAATTTAGTGGTGTATTAATAGGTTAAGAGTTATTGTTGCATGCTCAATTTATGCTAAAATGTTTCTTCTTGGTAATATTTTTAGCCTAAAAACTTAGCAGCCCTCATACAAAGACTTTCATAGGCTGGAGGTCAGTGTTATTTTTAACATGCAGCTGAAGGAGGGAGAGGCAGTGTTTGTAATCTTAGCCTTGGACTGTTCAACATCTACTCTAGTTAAAGTAGAACTTCTAAATTCATGGCGAGTGAAGAAAGAAGAACCATTTCCAAACTTTTTTAAAACCTTCTTTGTTCTACAAACCAGCCTTTACACTGGTGTGACTTGAAGCACCTTTTGAATATGCAAAGCCAATTGTGACTTCTTGTAGCAAGCAGGAATAAAACCTTCTCATATATGCAAGATACCTGACTTCTACTTCCTTGGAAAGTAGTGGTGGAACATTAAATATATATTGCAATACTCTGTTGCTTTGCAGGTGTTGCATAGGTTGACTAACAAACAGGGCAGTAGTACTAATCACTAAAATAAATGGATTTGACAAGGAAAATAACTGCAACAGCTTGACAGACAAATAGACATACAGGAGGAAAAAACAGACTGATAGCAGAAGGATGAGTGGTCATGGGATGGAAAGTATTACATAGGACTATCTTAAGGCTTATCTTCTTTCATATTGACAAATATGAATAAATAATTCTGAGGTGAAACAGAAAATGAAAGCTTGTAAAGGTGTATTATGACACAAAACTGGTTTGAGATGTGTGGGACTTACTGAGTGGCTTGTAGAATGTTGGAAGTCCAGTTAGGTTATTCAGGTTCTTGTAGGCTACCATTTTTAATGTGTCACTTCTAACCAGAGGTAACTTGGATGAAGTTATTTAAATCTTCAGTGCATGAAGTCTACAAAGAGTGTGCAGTATAACTTCATTTATCATAAAGAGCTTTTGGCTCTCATGAGACCCCTCCTGTAGTACTGTGTCCAGTTCTGGAGCCCCCAATGTAAGAAGGACGTGGAGCTCCTGGAGAAGGTCCAGAGAAGGGTCACGAAGAGGATCCAAGGGCTGGAGCACCTTTTCTACAAGGCTGAGGGAGTTGGGGCTCTTCAGTCTGGAAAAGAGAAGGTTCCAGGGAGACCTTACAGTGGCCTTCCAGTAGCTGAAGGGGGCCTACAGGAAAGTTGGAGAGGGGCTTTTTACAAGGGCTTGTAGTGAGAGAGCAAGAGGTAATGGATCAAAACTGGAAGAGAGCAGGTTTAGGCTAGACATTAGGAGGAAATTCTTTAGTGTGTGGGTGGTGAGACACTGGAACAGATTGGTCAGGGAACTTGTGGAAACCCCATCCCTGGAAGTGTTCAAGACCAGGCTGGATGGGGCCCTGAACAGCTTGGTCAAGTGGGAGGTGTCCCTGCCCATGGCAGAGTGGAACCAAATGATCTTTAAGGTCCCTTCCAACTTAAACCATTCTGTGATTCTAGTATTAGGGTTTTTTTGCAGAGCTGTTGACACTTGAAATTTGAAGATATAAGTTCAACCTTAGTTAAAACCAGAAAAGCCTCTGACTTATTTATGCTTCAGCTCTGTCATAGCATGTTAAATGTGTTTACAGTGGCACTAAATAAAATCTTGGATTAAAGTGATTGAAATAAGGGAACTAGTTTTGCTGCCATTGTTTTTGATGATTCGTGCAAAGTCTTAGTACTGCAGCTGTGATTCTTTCTTGCTGGTTGTGGCCATACTAGCTGCAGAACAAATGCTTCCACAGAAATGGCTGTCTTACTGCTATACAGTTCATTTATTTACCACATCTAACATTTAAGGGTGTTTCCCAGGAGAAACGACGTAAAATCAGAGTTAATGTGCAGTAAAGCAGCAGGGGAGGGAATAAACATACTTGGAATCTTTATTTTTTATGTTCATTAGAAGTAGAATACTAAACTAGTACTAGATACTAGAGCTAAACTAGATGATGCTCAAATTGTAAATAACAGAACTTTCTGAATGGCTTTTTAGGATACTGCAGGTCAGGAGCGCTTCAGAACATTAACACCCAGTTACTATAGAGGTGCACAAGGTGTTATTCTAGGTAAGTATAGCTTTGCATACTATTTTGAATAAGTTTGTGGTTTTCTCATTGGAGTTACACAAGCTCATATAATTTTTCTGTAATATCTAATTGCTTTTAAAGATCACTGTATCTATGTTGAACAACTTGTATGCGGATCTTGAATTTGATGTTTTAGCTCTTTCTCATGTAGTGCATCTCACTAGCCTGAGAATCATGGACTTTTGCATGAGATTAAAAGCTGCTGCTCTTTGAAGGGACAGCTTGGAGCTGTGCCTGTGCTGCCAGGAATTTGCCTTTTATTTATTACTTTTGGGGTTTTTTTGCCTGTGCTTACTAAGTCCATAGCAAAAAAATGAAGAATACCTTTTCCTTCCTCTCAGTGTGTTCTTTCTGTATCAGTCTGTATGTATGTTTCTCTTTTTTTTTCCTCTCTATTTCTCTTTTAAATTAAATTAATATAAACACTGTGGAATCTGCCTGGGATTTTTTGCTATTTGTGTCTCTATGCTGATGGTATGTTACACAGTCAGAATTACTTAGAAAAGGCTAGCTGAGAGAATAAAAAACAGCAATCTATGTGGGAGGAACCCAGGCTAAACCCAGTAATTGCAACTTCACAGGGAGGTCACTAAGTTGCTTGCTGTTGTTTCGTACATGGAAACCTGTTAAGTAGGCACAAAGCTCAGAAGTTCTATGCCTCCAGTGCTAATAGTGAGGAGCTAACTAAAGTAAGGGCAGGGAAGTAAGTTTTAAATTTTTTTGAGGTTGTGTCTGACTTGAGAGATTCTTAGTAAGTTACTGTGTCCAGCGAAATTGTTTAACTTGGAATAACCTCTGTCATGAGACTTCATGGTAGGTTTTGTTTTGTGTGTAGTGTTTCCCAAGTCTGAGTTGCATAGTCTTCCTGGTGTAGGACGATGCTGTCAAGGCATGTCTTGTCAAGTCACTTAGTTGCTGGCACTGAACCTGCCACTTAATATTGAAAGCTGCAGAGGTAAGCAAGCACTCTTTGGAAGCTGGAACATTCTGCTGTTGAGATTTGCTCTTTCATTTTATTTAATAATCTTTTCCTGACTATTTCTTTGTTAAATGATTTTCTAAAAATAAGGTTGTTCCTGCAAGCCAAGCTATAGATTTGATTGAAACCAACTGTGTGTGCCTGTCTGTAAATGGGATATGAGAATGAAGGAAAAAATATTTTCATAGCTTGAAATGGTAGCTGTTAGTCACTGGGTAGTGGATTTTAAGTTTAACAAGGCCAGCTTTTTGTCTGCTCTTTCTGCTGATAACGTGGCTTACTATATCCCACACAAATGCTAAATAGTTGGAAACACAAAAATATGGAAAACCCGGCAGTTCACTAGAATTAGTTTAGCTAAAGTAACATAGCTGCAGTGTTACACAAGTCTTAATTATCACTAACTAGCTCCATGCAGAAGGTAGTGCCATCCTCTTTGTATGCCTTTTGTGTACTGAAGTTAGTAAGTGTTCTACATCAGGGATCTGCAAGTGTAGAATCATTTGGAGAATGATAGTCTCTAGCCTGTAAGCTAGGATATCTCAACATAAATGAGCCTGGGAACAGGAGATGAATGAATCTTAAGAGTTTTCTCTGCCGTAGTACCGGTGGAGATTTGAGCTGGTGGATATTGAACTTCTTTTGCAATTGTTGTCTTGCTGTAGTAAGTAAATTGAGACTCTTTCAGTTTTCATATTTAAAAAAACATAGTTTTTTGCTCCTTTTGGAATGTAGCTGTAGATCATAAGCTGTATTTCCTGGAAAAATATTGTGGAAATAATATTGCTAATATCTTTCAGTTTATGATGTCTCGAGAAGAGATACTTTTGTAAAACTGGATAACTGGTTAAATGAACTGGAAACGTACTGCACAAGGAATGACATAGTGAAAATGCTAGTTGGAAACAAGATTGATAAGGTAAACTGAATTCAACTGAAGTAAGTAATCTGTTGGCGTATTTTGTTAATAATGGATATTAATGCTATATCTTATTATAGGAAAACCGTGAAGTTGACAGAAATGAAGGTCTGAAATTTGCAAGAAAACATTCCATGTTGTTCATAGGTATGTTAGACATTTACAGAGATCTCTACTTGATTTCTTTTTTTCTACATAATGGAAAGTACCACTTCTGTAGAATTGGTAGTCTTTATAGGTACAATCCAATTAATTGTATTTCTCAGCTGCAGTAGGTACAAAGATATTGGGTATTCACATCTTCTCAAAAGTAGTCCATAAATATGTTCAGGTATCTAATCTAGTTGTACATGTGTATACTGAAATGCATAAGGATTAAAGGTGGAATACAGGCTCTGCTGTAGTCTGACAAAACTTTGAGGTTTTGTCTTATTTTTTTTCAAAGCCTACTTGCTAAACTAGTACAGAAGCAATACGAAAAAGGGAAAACTGATACTAGTGGCCAGTTTTCAGCATAGCAGAAGAGCTGGTACTTGACAGAAATCTATTAAAATTGGGATGTAAAAGTAGGTAGAATGTAAATAACTTTAAAATGCTGGATGGGATTAGGTAGTGACATAAACATGACTGGAGCAAATATCTTGGTCTCATCTTGCTGTGAGTTGAGTCTTGTAGGCGAATTCTTTGAATGGTAAAGTAGGTGGTGAAGTGATTCTATATGCATGTTTCATTTAAGGATCACCACAGATTACTCTGTAGGATGACTCCAGTAGCAAAGCAGTTTATTGACATGAAAAGAAACACAAAAATTGAACTATAAATATATATATCTGGGTGCTACACGTTAAGTATCTGCATGGCTGTGTAGAAGAACAGGAAAAGCTATAGTGGGACTAGTTTCACTATCTTTTGCTCTCATAATATACCCTGTGAGCAAACTTCTTGGACTTAGCCATAGCAAGTCTCCTGAGTGAAATTACCTAGAACTCTGCTCACTGCAGAAGAAATGAGATACCTTATTGCATGTAATTAGATTAGTTGTGTCATGAAGGCTGACCCAGAATCCTACAGTATGGATCTTTGCTTCTTATAGTATGGTGGTAGTATAGTTCTGACTAATATATGGAACTGAAATGCAGAACAGCAACCAGGTTTATCAGACATTTTATGTTAGGAAAACCCTCCTTTCTTCTTCCTGAAGTGCTTTCCACAGTAAAATAAAGCTAAGTTGTAGCTGTCTCCATGTATTCTAGTGACATTCAGCTTGGAAGCTCTTCTATTACTGAAGTTGTAAGTCTAGGTTGTAGTTAAGACTGAACTGAAAGAGAAACACTAAACAAGTTACTGCAAGCTATTGTAACACTTAACTTCTTTTGTCCCTTCTCCAGAGGCAAGTGCAAAAACATGTGATGGTGTACAGTGTGCCTTTGAAGAACTTGTTGAAAAAATCATTCAAACTCCTGGACTGTGGGAGAGTGAGAGCCAAAACAGAGGTGTAAAGTTATCACACAAGGAAGAAGGATATGGAGGAGGAGGAACATGTGGTGGATATTGTTCTATGTTATAAACTTTGGGAAGCTTATTCTTTACATATATAAAGAGCTAGTGACATCTTTCTGTACATATATTCATTAATTGCTATTTTTAGGGACCTTGCAGTTTGCACATACTTGTTTTGTATCATGGCAGTGAAGACTTGTAGGAAAAACGTTCTGCAGCTTTTCCAGTTTGAAGATGTTATGGTAAGCATGCCCAATTTGCAATCTTCAGGTTTTTATAAGTAGCATAAATAATGTGCAAGAACAAATGCACTTAAAAATTTTACAACTCTATACATTCATCATGGTACTAACTATTCTAAGAAATCCATCCAACAAAAACACGATTGCATTGTCTGCTGCGTCTTGTTTTAAAATACTCTTGAAATTATAGAACTATATAGTGTGCACAGATCTTGAAAACAGTGTGAGCTATAAATGGTACATTTCATTACTTCTAGTAAATGCTTTTTTATTGTATTAAAACCAGCAAGATTATATACTACTTGGACAAATCTGCTAAATTTTTGTCTTTCATCAGAACTGTCTAAAATACAAATTGGCACAGGCCATAGGATCAGCACCTTCTTGAAGAGATGCTTGGAATGCTTCCTTTGCAAAGCTGGGGTACACCTTTTCTTTTTATTCATCACTTCAGTTGATGGCTTAACTGGAGTTTTAGTCCTGTGATATTTATATATTAAATTTGTGGTTCTCTTGCATTGAGTTTTTATGATGCAGTCTGCTCTAGATTTGCTGTAGAAAGTTTTCATTTTTGGCAAGGAATCTGAATGACATCTTTGTTCTTTCATTGTCAATCAATTTGCCACACTTCAGTAGGGATGCCTAGTTTTCTGAAATGTTTGTAATGTAACTGTCTCAAACTGTAGCTCACTGTGACTGTGAAGATCTCGATCATATTTTTGTTTGTGTGGCTACTTGTTCAGAAATAAAACTTTGTCACAGACACTAAATGGGAAGCTGTATGGCTTCTTGATCTCTGTATGGAAAATACTACTGCAATGAGTATTCACTTGAATTTACTGTATCAAAACCAATGGTTTGTTTCAGAAGACTTGTATAGACTAATAAATTTTTTTCCATAGTATTCAACTTTTCTAACCTCTTCCTATTGTAGAGTTGTGTATTGTCTAGCACATACAGTTTAAACAAGGTCACTTCTTACAGACAAATTATTTTGGAAGGAGAAGACAAGGATGCTGTGTTCTGGTTTGTTTTTTTTTTAAAAAAATCATTATAGTGCAATCAATAACTGAACTATGGGCAGTTTCTTGTAAATACAGTGATGACAGTACCTTTGGTTACCACAAGGTTTTGTGTTAATGTGAACACACATGATCTGTATTTTGCAGCAGGTATTGGCTACTTCTGTTAAAATAGACTTTATTCTTCACACAGGAACTGTTTTCTGTTCTGTTTTACACTTGCTAGAAAACAATGCCAAAATTTGACAACAATTCTAATTTTTATCAAATATTGTATCTATAATATTGTTAATGTAGGATAACTTAAATTTGTAAATGTAATATTAAATACACATACATATTGTATTAAAATGTTAGAATGCTATTACTGTTTCATGCAGAGTGTGTGGGCTGAGCAAATCTTGTTTGTTAGCATTGCAAATTTCTGGTTTTTGTGGCCTGGCAGTAGAGGAAACTTTTTTAGGAGCATTAAAACTGAATAACAATTATTTTAGTATATCAGTAATATTGTACAAGTAACATAATCCTGGCAGATGCTTGTTATTTATGTCCATACCTGTTTTTCCACTAGTCTGGGTGCATCCCTGTGTTGAGAAGAGGCTTCTTTTTCAGTTTTGAACAAAAGGTCCTTTTATCACAGGACCTGAATTCATCTTTTATTTTGCCTTTGCCAGATCTGACAGCTCTTGTCAAAGGGGGAACTGCAGGGGCCTCTGTATAGTGGTTATTGTTCTGCAAAAGAATCAAGGCACTTGCTCCTTCTTTCCCTGCAAAATTTTTCTGGGGAGAGAGGAGTATTCTAACACAGTGTATTTAGTGAAACTGAGAGCACTTTAAAATTATCTCTATTGGAAGCAGCTGTTTTTAATTGACTTGCAACTAGCTCTTCTGTCTTCATCTTTTAAGCATGTTTGATTATATCCCCTGAGAAGTGGGTGTTCCTGGAGTATGCCCACCTAGAGCCTTACCACCTTTCCTTATTGCTCTGTGAGGAAGCTGTGTACTGGAGGGGTGGATTCCTCCTGTATTTGTTAGAACAACTGTAGCATCAGTTACTCTGCTAGTTTGGGGTTTTTTTAAAGTTGCTTTTTTTTACACCTTTTTGTTTTGAAGGGGGAGTGGGCAGGGGGAGCTGTCATCTTTCAGGTAGAACTTTTCCCATATTTTCCAAGTTTTTTCCTCTTTCCAGGCTGGAGTTGTATCACCATTATCTCCAAATGCCCCATCACTGTTGGGGCTGTAGTGCTAGCATATCTGAAACTTGCAAGCTCTATCTTAACCTCTGTTTAATACTGATTTAAGCCTATGTCTTTGCAATATTGAGTGTTGCAGTCAGAGGATTATGCACAAGAGATCTTTTGGTCTACTTTAGTAGGGATGATGGAGATAGCTGTTGGGTGGTTCTTTGGGGTGGTTCCTGTTTGTGGGCAGGGCTTGGCACTTCTTGTTGGGTTTCAAGAGGTTCCTGTTTGCCCCTAAGATGGAGAGCATCCCTGGGTGGGCTCAAACCACAAGCCTCTCAGTTAACAGCTGAACGTGCTGACCAACTGTGCCACAGAGACTAATGTGTGGTGTTGTTCTTCAGAAAACCTGAATTCCTGACTTTTGGTAACAGCAGGTGGTGGCTGCGTGTGTTGTCGCTGACCGACCAGTACTGCCAGCACGTTGCTGCAACCAACCCATGTGTTACTGTGTCAGAATATTGTAAGAGATGGGGTGGCGGGAAGAAACGCTCTTACCTCCTGCAGAGTGTGAAAGATGAGATTCTTCTGGTTTGAAGGAGTGGTGATTCCTTACCACGTAGCTCCCTCAGGAGAGGGGGGCTTGGGGTCATGTTGTGCCTTGTGGGCCAGCTGGTATTATTTCAGAGGTGAGTTAAAGGCATTGTTTTTCTAGTCAGAGCTACCGAAAGGCCCTGCAGTACCCATGTGCTTTTTGTGCTCATAGGTGTGGCTGTAAGAAGTCTGAAAACCTGTGTGGCTGTGGATGTTAATGCCATTAAAGCAAAACACAGGTACACTTCATAACATGGATTGAGAGACATCCAAGATGCTGATTGTGGAATTCTCACTACATCTTGGAACTGGAGGTTGAAGATGAGATCTCTTGGGCAGGTCTTAATGAACTGAAGATTTCATGGTGAAATATATGGGTTTATTTTTTAAAGTTTCACAGGTGTACTGCCTCAAAGAAAGCACTGATAACTTCCCTTTGTAATGAGCATATGTATTTTTCGCACTCATTCAACAACCAGGAAAAGATGAAGCCTTTCACTCTGCACTTGTGTCTTGATGCAAACCAAAGGGTATGAGAACCATGACAGGAGCAGAGTTCTGTTCAGCTAGTGAATCTGGATCTGGTTTATGTTCAGTTTCCTGACAGAAGGGAAGTCTGCGTTAGTATCTTAGCCTTTTTCTGTTGTTCATTTAGTAAAGATAATACAGCAAAATGTTGGATCGAAAATGGTTTAATTTCTTTGAAAAGTTAGGAAGCTTAATCTCCACAAGGAGACATTTGACATGATGCTGACAGTGTTGTTGGGGAAGTGCTGCCCCTAGGCAAGGTAAGCACAGGAAGATGTGTTGGTAATTGCTTTACGAAAAGTTTGAGCTGTTTTCTTTTGGAGGAACTGGAAGGTGGAGAAAAAAGTACTTTCAGCGGTAGCAGCAGCAGATAACCTCTCCTAAGCATGAAGTACAACAGCGAGCAGCTTCCAATTCCTTCCTCTAGTGTTTTAAGCTGTACTGTGAGGGAGTCTACACCAGGTACCTCAAAGCTGTGTCCTACAGCTTGCTTTGGGGTCCTGCTCCTCCAGCTGCTCCCCTCAAGAGCTAACAGAGGTGGTGCTTGGCTCCTGTCTGGCCTGTGCACTCTAGGATACTTCCACTGGGACCCCTGGCACTAGGCAAAGGTGCAGATTCAGGGTTCATTCTGAGCTGGAATTGCAGGTAGTTGGGCTGTATAGGCCTGAGAGCTAAAATGTTCTCACAGGTGGCAGAGTTTAAAGGTAGCCATTGGGAACATAGGGAGGAGTCCAGAAAGTTGCAGAGTCAAATTTGCTCAGTACAGGATCCTACTTTTAGTGATGTGTTGATAATGGTCTCTCAGAGTTCCCAGCATAATCTGTTGGAGCATTGACACCATTCAAGCTTTGGCAATAATGTTTATATTAACAAATTGCTGGCTTTCAAGAATGCAGGCATCATTCATACAGGCTTTTCTGTAACTTACAGTTTTGAGTCAAAGCTTGTAGGAGAGGGAGGACTTACTGAATTAGCAAATCTAGTTGGAAGAGAAGTGTTAAGGCACAGAGGTCCTTTTTCAGGTCTGTGGAATGGTTGCAATAATGCTATTATCACAGCATATTGCTGTTTCTTGGTGTGAACCAGAAGACAACAGTTTATTTCTGTGTCAGGTCTGAATACCTGACATGCCTCCTCCATATGTAGCAATCCAGGTAGAAAGATGATAAATGGATAAGGGTGTGAAAAGCATCAACAGGCTGTTAAGGAGGCACAGGCGTGGGAGCTGGTTCAGGTATCAGTGGCAGTCTGGCTGCAGCAATGCAGAGCTCAGTAGTTGAACGTGCCCCTCCAGAAAGGAGGCTGCTTTCTGGGTCTTCTCTGGTTTTGTGCTGCAGGAAGCATATTTGGGAATGGACCTGCTTTGGCTGTGAGGTTTGACTGTCTGACCTTGCTCCAGGAGCTGGAGCATCTTCCTACTGTGCTATTTCTTTCTTCTGGGATTATGTACTAGCTGGTAAATGGAATAAGGGTAACTTCTGTTGAGTTGCAGGCAAACATGATGAAATATAATGGGCCAACTAACAGATTTCCATGGTATGCTTAACCCTGGGAATATCCTGCCTGCTTCTCCCTTTAAACACTAAGAAAAAGCCATATTTTGGTCTTGTGATTTCCTTTGCCTGGAGAGAGGAGAGGCAAAGCGGCTGAGGCTTGAACAATTAAACAGAAGTGCAACAAAGTTTCCCCTGGAAGTAGCAGATAGACAGCAGTGATACTAGAAGGCCTGCAATTAATGCTCTTGCACTCCTCAAAATATGAGTAGCAGTCTTCTGAGCTTAGAGAAAATTATTTGCTATGTATTTCACAGTAGTAATCAAAAGCAATAAAAGCATTTATATGCATTTACCATGTTCTCCAGAGAAGTCAAAATGATTTGTCAGTAAACAGATTGGAATATCACAATAGCTTGAAGTCTGAACACATCCTTTGTTTGCAAACTTAGTCTGGGAAAACAGAGCAGGGAAGGATTACAAGACACCAAGGTAGTCTTTCTGTCTACCCTAAGAAGGATCAAGTACACTCAAATCATTAATGTATTTAAAATATTCTTAAACCCAACAATGAAGATTTTATTGCCTCCACAGGTAACCTCTTCCACTATTTTTGGAACCTTAATAGTGGAAAGCTTATTCTTCTGTTTAACCTTTATTTCCTATGCTGTAAAAAGAGTGTGCCCACTTAGCTGAGGCTTCTGCTCAAACCTGTTCTTGCCAGGTGGTGCCAACACGCCTAATGGAACAAGCTGAAAATTGTTTCAGTTATGACATGTAAAAAAACCCAAAGAGCTGCTTTTCCTGCTGAACAGGAAAGCTGCTCATTGTGAAGTGATGCCTCTTTTTATTTTTTTCATATGTTTTTTTCTTTTTGGGTAGTACAGTGCAGAATTAACAACATAATCTATCTCTGAGCCTCTATCTCTTCGTAGTACATCAGTGTTTGTGAATATGAACCAGATCAAAAAGCTGAAACCTAGTAATACATGAAGTTCTTGTGTGGCTCTGGGGAGAGTAGCTTAACTGCTCTGTGTCTCACTTTGGTATACAGGAAAATACCTCTAGGCTTCTTTTGTTCACTAA